CCGCGCCACCGCCAACTCCCAGCTGGAAGATGAGCTGGTGTCGCTGCAAAAGAAACTCAAGGGCACTGAAGATGAACTGGACAAATACTCTGAGGCTCTCAAAGATGCCCAGGAGAAACTGGAGCTGGCGGAGAAAAAGGCCACTGATGTAAGTGCACGCTCACACTGCTTCCCTCACCTCCTGCCGCATAGCCACTCTGGAGTCACCACAGGGGCTAAAAAGTAATGGAGGAAGGTAACCTCCTGCTGGATGCCAGTACACAGCCCTACTATAGCCCAGAGCACTGGATGCTACCTCTGACTGCTACTGCACACGTTCATTTATATTTCATCCGTTCCTCTCTTTTTCTCCTCTTCTTTACCCCTCGGGTTGGATGTGGGTGGGTGAGAAGCTGGGAGAGCAGAGCCGCTGGATTGGACTCTGAAGGTGAAACTTCACTACTAGTGGCAGAAAACCCAAGGTGGGTGTCATCATCAGGTTCAATTTTCTTCTATTTCTTTCCTTTTGCCATCCCTAGTGTGGGGGACAATCTAATCTGTCTTTTCATGGTGGTCCCAGTCAGATACAGAGAGGCTGGCCTCCAAACATAGTAATACTTTGGGCTGAGCTTGATGGTGGGGCACAGGGACACTCTGAGACTTCCTTTCTCAGTAGCAAAGTTTTAACCCTGCCTTTAAGATTTGCCTGGGAAGATGATACTTGCTTGGGTAGGCAGTCTGAGGCCACTGGAGCCAGAAAATAAGTGAGAAGTTATATATAGCTCAGTGCTTTATATGGTATAGTGAGCTAGCTGCCCCCTGCCCCTCCTGCTTGCCCCACCCCCACCTGTCAGCCCTTTGACAACCACTGCATACTTTCAGGGGTGATACACACTAGCTAAATCTCACTAGCACTTTGTCCATTGCCCTTTGGAATCTTAATTGTAGAACTTGCCTATTCTGCCTCCAAAAGTCAAGACAAGGATTAGATTTCCAAAGAACCGACTTCTTTTCACACTGTTGAATTCTATTCTAGAAGCCAATTAAGCCTAGTGGCCCAATTAGAAAAGAATTCCTTGGGAAGTTGGTAACTATTCCAAGAATGCATGAGCACCAGGGAAAGCTATGCCCAGAAGTTAACCTCCAAGTGCAATAGCAGAATTTTTTGTATGGGAGTAAAATGTGCATTACTGAAGGGTCTCACATCTTGAAATCTCCACAGGCTTTTGTAGCATAAAAAATTTGCAATACATATGTGTTCTATAAATGAGAAATCCAGATGTACAACACTTAGAATCTTACAAAAAGAAATTTTTGGTGAATATCAAGATTCCTAGGTAGGGGGTTTAGGAAAGCATTGACATTTAAGCTAAAACATTTAAGTTAGAAACTACCTGGCTTAGAAAAAGAGTCACAAACAAACAAAAACAACTCACATGTAACTTTAAGCCTGTTTTTAAGGATCAAATGTCTGCTCTGTGTATATGGCTAAATGGAGGATGCCTGTCTCACCCAAATTCTCCAACAGGACATTTCTTTAACTTTTTCAAAAGAGCCGCTGATAGATCAAGAAAGAGATATTCCTTATAAGGAAAAGAATGCAAAGAATTTGAAAATAGCCCAGTAAGACTGAAAGCAAGAGAAGGAGAAAAATGCTACTACAATTCTTAAGGGGAAAAAAAAAAAGATAATAATTATTGTAACTATGTAGTGCTATCATGTCTTTATTGAAAAGTCTTGTTTAGAGGGGCTTGGAATAAGGCAGAAATGGAAAGAGACTACTCTAAACTCAGCTGTAGGGGCAGGATCAGCAGGGGAGAAGGTCATTTAATCCTGTTTTGGTTCTTTATCCTTCAGAAAACCCTAAATATGGTGTGTGTGTGTGTGTGTGTGTGTGTGTGTGTCTCCTTTTGGTGAATGTATTGATCGTCTTTCCCTTTAAGACATTTTAGGTTGTTTGGAGACTGTAGGGATGTTGAAGAAGTTTGAGAAGAAATGCTATATTTAGAATAATTCCTGAACTAGTAAAAATAGTTAAAACTTGAGGAGAAAGAGAGAATGTCACTAGAGAAAAAGAGAGCTGGGAGAGAAATCAGTGTCCTAAGGAAGTGGGATTAGAAAATTTCACTGTCATTACTTCCCCACATAAAGACAATTTTTATATTTTTTGATTACTATTACTAAAAATGTTTTTTACAATTTACCAACATGCTTTACAAATTCAACTCCAGAAGTGGGTTTTTCCTAGATTATAAGGGTCTCATTCAGGAGGTAGCACCTCTGATGATGATTTTGTTTTGAATTTTTGATTGGCTAAGTGAGCCTAAGGGAGTGTCAGGGCTCCATTGTCTCTGGCCCAGCTTTTTCCCCAATAATTGTGATATGATATTTCCAGTGGGTCTTTATCCCTACTTAGGTCTTTATTGATTCTCAACCTTATTTAAGTAAAGTTTTACAACCCAGGGAAGTTGTAAAACTCAAGTCAGGTTGCACCTAGTCAATTAAGTCAGAATTGTTGGGGTTGGAACCCAGGAGGCAGAATCAGAATTTTTTTTTTTTTTTTTAATACCCAGGTGATTCCAACTTGCAGCCAAGGCTGAGAACAATTGTCCCAAACTCTTCTATAGTGACATCAGTTTGAAAATGAACTCACCTGAAACTGAATTCCTCGGGTGTTTGAAAAGCAGGATATTAAGTCATTAGTTGGCTTAGAGCATCTGCAAGTGTCCAGCAGTTTCCCTGTCTGCCCCCGAAGGTTCTTAAATGCCCTCTGTCCCCATCCCCAATATCAGAGGCCCTCAGTCTGTGTTCTTAGAGGAGGAGCTGTAACCACTGGGCCTGTCCAGTTGAACTGTGTGGAAACAAAGCCAGAGGCTCCACCTACAGGATGAGAGGACCCAAGCTGGGGTTTGTGAGCATCTCAGTAAATACTGAGGAACTCCACAGAAAGTGTTAGGAAAGCAAAGGAAGCTCACTGTTAGGACTTTGGAGGATGAGGATGTTGACAGGCATGTTTTCTTTTTCTTACTGTCTCTTCCTATCCTCCCATCCCGGGCACTTTATCTTTTTTTTTTTTTTTTTTTTTTTAAGAGAGAGAGAGGGAGAGAGAGAATTTTTTTTTAATATTTATTTTTCAGTTTTCGGTGGACACAACATCTTTATTTTATGTGGTGCTGAGGATCGAACCCAGCGCCCGGCGCATGCCAGGCAAGCGCATTACTGCTTGAGCCACATCCCCAGCCCCAACACTTTATCATTCTGAAAACTTGTCAGAAATTGACTTCAATGGCCCTGTGACAAAGGTGAAGGGAAAAAGCCAAAAATGCAGCCCAAGAGGGGAACCTACAAGTCAGTCCCCAAAAATTGTGTTCCAGAATGGTTTTCTAGGTGGTAGACAGAGGTTCTTTCCTAGGGTTCTGTGGCTTTCTTTGGGGTGCCTTTTAAAGACATCCTAGTCCAGCCCAGAATCCATCTAATTCCAGCAGATTTCAGACCCTGGCTGGTCTAAAACTAGGGACGGTTGAAATTAGAAGCAACTCTTGGTTTGTTTGAGATTGCATAGCTAGTTATGGGTCCCAACCTGACTCTTAAAGCAGTGCTTGCATATTTATTAATTATAGCTATCATTCGAGTTTTTAACTACATATATGGTATTGTGAAAAGTGCTTTAATTATATCATAATTCTCATAACAACCCTATGAATACTATTACCTTTATTTTTACAGCTGAAGACCAGACAAGTCAAGGGAAATAGGAGCCAGATTCAAATATAGGAATACTGCATTTAGAACAGGAGGGCCAACCACACTATGCTTTATTAGTGGGTTTCGCTGGAGACTGGGGGTGAGATTGTGATTAGGAGGTTGTGTGTCTAGGGTTCTAAACATTTTCTTTAGGCCCCATTCAGGCTCAGCCCTCACTCTCAGCGTCTCTAACTTCTAGACATGGTAATCTGGATTCCATCGCCCTTAGCAGCCTGGTCCGTTACCCTAGTTACCACCTCCTGGGTGCTAGGGAGGGGCACTGCCAGTCCAAGTAAAATACTTAGCGCTGTGGCCTCTCCTTCCCGCCTCCTTCTAGGTCTCAGTGGGCTGCTAGCCACAAGCCCAGTCTCTGCGGCCGCGAGCATGCGCAATGCCTCCGGCGGGCCCCAAGTTCCCGGGGTCCGCGGCGCGCACCCAGCCCCGCCCTGCTCGTTGGTGGTGCCCGCCCCCGGCGCTCGCGCACCCGCCCGCGGTTCGTCGGCGCCGCCGGGGAGGCCGTGACTTCCGGGCTGCTCCTGGGCGGCTGGGGGCGCCGCCGTCGCGCGGAGCGGCCTGGGCGGGGCGGACGGGCGCTTGGCTGCAGCAACACCCGCGGTGGCCTTAGCGC